AAGTTCAGATCCCATCAGTCTCCTGACAGAGCCCATGATTTGTCTTCCTACCCACAGCCCAACCTCAGCTCCGAAACCAGATGGAAATTGACCATCAGACCCGAACTTCACAAAGTCACCTGTCTATTGAGAATTAGCCAGTGCATAATATAAAAACTTCCTTTTACAGTTTGTTCTGAAACATGTTTTCCCATTCACTTCCTCTCCCTAGAAGTTGAAGATAAGCTCCTATAAGATAAATTGTACCTTTTGCCAACAATTGTATCACATGCTAATATGCCAGATAGTTTTTAACAATTTGATCACAGTAAGACCTGGAAAATCAACTATTCATTTGTGTCTTTGGAAACAGGAAAGCAGAACTGAGATAAGAGCCCAGGCTTCTCTGTGGATTAAATGAAAAAAACAAACAAAATCAAAATGCCAAACTGTAACCCTGCTTATTGTTGTAGGATTGTATCTATCACAAGGGATAAAGTAATCTTCTGTATCCAGAGTCCCACGTATGTTCCAGCCTTAGTCCCACCAGACTAAGTGGGTTATACTTTTTCCTTATGGAATAGAGTCTATGGTATGATATTTTCCCTGAGTACATCAGTTTTGCTCTGTTCTCTTTTCCACCTCACCTGGCCACCTGTCTTCCCCACACGGAGTGATCTGTCAGAAAGTTTTGGTAGAAAACCTTCGTAAATTTAGAGGGCAAGGCTGTTCAGATACAGGAAGCACAGGAGTAAAGGGAGTCAAAGGTGATGAAATCGAAGAGAGTGCATCAGCAGCCAGGGATTAAACGTCCAGTTTGTGTCTCTCCTGTTTCAGTTTCTTCCCTTCCTTCTTCCTTGGTGTCCAAAGGCCCCTCTCTGCGGGCCTTCCCGCAGTCTAGAATGTGAAATACCAGATTGTTCAGTGGATGTAAAGATAAAATAACTCTTCGAATGTGTTTTCCCTTAAACAGTTTGTGAGCCCTCCAGTAGTTATCTAGTGAGTGTGTCTGGGGAAGTTTTGGGTCGCACGGATGTGCTAATGACAAGACATGCCCCACGGCTGGGTGGTTTAACTTACTTTTCTTCTTAGTTACATATTGTGAAGTTTAAACTTATATGTGTCCATTTGGCTAGAGACAGAAGCACAAAGGACACTGATGTTGTAAAGTAGTTAACAAGAAGCATAAAAATGGTCACATCTGCAAATTCCTCTTAAAGCTATCTGCATTGATCCACACACAACCATGTCACCAGTATTTCCAAATTCAATGTGAAAAAGATTAAATGTATCCAACGTGGCTTATTACTTATTGGGAATTTAAAATGTCAAACTATACTCTCAATGTGTTAGTTGCAAAGTTTTAACAAATATCAGTATGAACTTTCTCCCATAGTTTGTCATTGAGAAACAAAAAAAACAAAAATTATAAAAATAAAGCTCCTGATATTTTAAGGGCAACATGCAAGATTTCTCTATATCAAGGAATAAAAAAGGCATTCTTGTATATTTGACATAGTAATGTGTAATTGTTGTATTGTGTGTTAACATACATTCAGTCTTCCAATGATGAGACAATATATCATTTTAAAGCAAATTGGTCAACAAAATATTCAGTTTTTCTAAATTATGACTTTAATGTGAATGAAATGTCCTATGTCATTTATTTCTTGATACAAATAAGGTCTATTTTATGGACAATAATATTTAAAGATTATTAAACATGAATTCTAAGACAACATTTTAGTAACATTGACATCAAATTTTTAAACAAAATTTTACCAGAAACAGTGGAACTATTTGGAACAATTACTAAGAAGATCTAGGGGATTAAATTATTACTATTGAAAGAGTTTACAATAAAAAAGGAAAAGGCAAGGACCGTTGCTTGGTAAGATCCTCACCAAATGCCCCGTTTCTGATGTCCCGGTGCCACTCTTGAAGGTCTTTCTTTTGGTGTGAAGATCTCTGAGGACAGCTAGCACGCCACAACCAGAAGCTGCTGATTGCCAGCAAATTCACAGCTGCTCCCTGGAACTGGCTTTCGGGACTTCTCAATGCTCCAGGAAGGGCTGAGCAGAAAGCCTGTTCTCCCCAGAGATTCCAGCAAGGATGTGAAGTGCACACCGGGGCTCCGAGGCTCTGCTTGGCTGTGTGGGGAGCGTGTTTTGCACCCTGATGAGCTCAGAGGTCGAGCAAGGCCAGCAGGTTGCAAAATGAAATCAATAATGACGTTTTCTGTTGGTTAAAGATAATTACCAAAATGAGTAGGGTGACATCTCTCAAAATGAACAAAGTGACAGTGAAAAAACTGGGGAGATCTGAATGAAGTCTGCAGTTTAGTTAACAGCACTGAATTGATTTTAATTTATATGTTTTGACGAATGTACTATAGTAGTGTAAGACGTTCTCATCATGGGAAGGTGGGTGGGGAGTATATGGGGATTCTCCGTATGACCCTTCTGCAGTCTAAAATTATTTTAAAATAAAAAGTACATATATATTTAATATATATGTGCAAATATTTCTTTTACAAGGAGTTCTAGAGGAGTTAGGCTGAGAGATTTTGATGCCACATGGAGGGAGTCTGTTGCCGATCTCAAATACGGCACCTGGCCTGCTAAATATTTTGTGGGCAGGACGTTGAAGAATGCATCTCCTGTGCCGAGCGCACACAGTTCATTCTTTTGGAGCGCTTTCCTGCCCTGAGGATCACTGCGAGTCCCCCGTGGTAGTCTGTTTGCACCTGGAGATGTGGGGGCAGCACCCTGCCCCATCTCTTTTATGTCCTAATAATGCTGCCGTTCTGACCATCCATTAAATCGGGTCCCTACTGCATTTCACACTTGGATTAACTCAATCATGCAAATTATGTCAAGCCTAAAAGAAATCGGGCTGTGGGCAAATAAGAAACGCTAATAAAAATTGAAAATACGGCTCACAGCCGAGATGCTCCTTTAAGAGGCGGCTGCTCTCACAGTCCGCAGGTTCCCTGGCTTTGGGAGAGTGGGAGTGGGGTGGGGGGGTAAGCAGGGTGGGGGCGTAAGCAGACTTGAGCTGCAACATAAAGAAAACCCACAAGGTCAATTAGATTCCCAAATCTGGATTCACCTCTTCATGTGGAATGAAATGGTCCCGACAAGATTAGCAGCACACGATGAACAAAGCATTCCTTGAAATATTTTTGTTTGTCCTTACCAAGCAAAGATTTCCAGCGGACTTTTAGTAGGTTTCCCAGTATTCCGTCTTGCATTAACACACAGTGTTTCGGTGCCAAGCCTCTGCTCTGCTGGTTCCTCCACTTGGAAGCCCTCTGGTAGACATTTCTATCACACATCTGGCTCTTTACTGTCGTCTGAGGTCCGGTTAAAACACAATCCCTTAATTCAGACAGCTTTCCTGACTGATCTCAAGAGAAGCACTGTCTCCTGCTCTGAACCCTGTCCTGTTTTGCTGGTTTTTCACGTACGTCACCTAACATTTCCTGCCTTACATCAGACTCATGTGTGTACACTCAGCTCCTTGCTGCCTGGAATGTAGGCTGCCTGATGGAGAAGCCATGCTCTCTGGGTATGACACCACAAGTTCTGGTGTCATGGTTTATACACATCATTGTGGATGCTCAGAAGTTATTTCTAGAAGGATTTCCTTGGAGTTTAGGTCGTGAATGAAGAAAAGACTATAATGGGAGAGGCTATGAGAGCTTCTAACTTCTATGCCAGACTGGCTTCATGCTCAATTTGGTCTCCGTTCTTCATCGGTAGGGAACATTAGGCCCCATTATTAAAAGAAGGACCCTGTTGTGTTGTGTGTGTGTTTTTCTTTTCTTTCTTCTTTCGTTTCTGATTACTTCTTTCTTTCTTTCTTTCTTTCTTCTTCTTTCTTTCTTTCTTTCCTTCTTCTTTCTTCCTTCTTCTCTTCTTTCTTCCTCTTCTTCTTTATTTCTTATTTTTAGACAGTCTTGCTCTGTCACCAAGCTGGAGTGCAGTGCACGACCTTGGCTGGCTGCAACCTCCTCCTCCCTGGGTTGAAGTGATCCTCCTGCCTCAGGCCTCCCGATGTAGCTGAGGCCTACAGGTGCCAACCACCATGCCCCGGCTAATTTTGTATTTTAATAGAGACAGGGTTTCACCATGTTGGCCAGGATGGTCTTGATCTCTTGACCTCGTGATCTCGCCTCGACCTCCCAAATTGCTGGGATTACAAGGCATGAGCTACTGGCGCCTGACCAACGTGTTGTTTCTAAACAAAAAACCAAATTTGAAAAGAACCATGAATATGCAAGGAGGGCCTGGACCCTGTTGGAAGCCCTCAGAGGCATGACTCCAGCTAATCCTTAGCTTCCAGGGGTGAACCCAAATGTGTAGCAGGTGCTTGGTTTGATTCCCCGCTTACTCCTGAATTCTTGATCCACTCAGCACTAGTCTCCCTTTAGGGGTTTCACCTACTTTACTTGAAAGCTATTGACCTAAGATTGCCTGTGCAGATAATTTCCTGTACCCACTAACATGGATTAGATTTAAGTTTATTGAGTGCAGAGATGACATTTAAAACTTCTCTGTATCATTCACAGCATCTAGCCCAGAATGGAGTTCAAAAGTATTAATTCAATCATTGCCCCAACCAGTGGGATAAACTGAGCTGGCAGGACCCTTCTCCAACCTCTCCTTGTCCCTCCCAGCTACTCCTGACAAGCGGATTGAGGATATTGTGTGGAGGATCACAACCTAGAGCAAACGACGCTGTCTCTGATGATGGAGATGATGATATTACTAATAGCAACCCCAAGAACGACGTTTACAAGTGCTTCCACCTATGGACCATGTGCTGTGTTTAAGTACTTATGTGCCTTATCTCATTTAATCCTTAAGAAATCCTCCAAGGTATGTGCTAAATGAGTGTCAATGATGCACCTTTTACACACAAGAAACCTGAGGCTTTGGGAGAATCAGAAATGTGGATCTTAGAGCCCAGGCCCTGAGTCAGCAGGAAAACCTACACTTCCGGTCCTGTGGTCTTGATCAGCTGTGCTGGTGCAGCCAGCACAGAGAGGAGGCTTTGAAACATAACATCTTCTCACAAAGAACCATTGTTTCCAACAGAGGGATCAGAATAGCGCTGCTCCTGTCTTCTGGGTTGATGTAAACAGTCTGGGTAGACCAGGGTCTTATCTCCATCTACAGCTGAGGAGGCCGGAGACAATTTGATAGAAGCTGCACTTCAGTGACCACAGGCACACACAGAGAGTCTGCACAGGTTCACCCAAAGATCTATTTCCAAAAGCTGAGCTTTTCCTAGAACAGCCATAATATCTGGCTTTATTCCACATTTGTTTTTACCTTGCTGCTTCTCCTGAAGAAAGCCCTATGACAAAAATTGGCAATAAAATTATTAACCATAATCATTTTTATCTTAAACCAACTCACTTATGTTTAATAACCACTGAAGTAGGTGAGTTAAAAATAACCTCGTATTCTATTTCTCCTTCTGGGTGACTGGCGTCTCTTTCCATTCAAAATTAGAGAAAATACCAAAGCTCAGCCGTGATCTTCCTTCTAGAGGCTTGTTGGAACTCCAAACACATACCCCTGACAGATACAACAGGGATTAATGAGCCATGACCAGAAGTTTGATTTTTCTGTCAAGTGCTCCCATCCGTCTTTAATAAACAGAAGAACAACATAAACTCCATTGCCTGCCTTCCACTGCTGAAACTGAGCTGGCTGTTCCTGGTACCGTGTGTGTTGAGTTGAGTTATGATTCTAAATGACTTGACAAACGCTTTTACAAGCCCCTTTGGTCTGCTACTCTGGTGACTGTCTTTGCTCCCCAAGTTCCATTTCTTTGCCTCTGTTCAACGTGGGCAGCTCAGTGCTTTGCCAGTGGAAACCGTCAAATGTAATATCACATTTACAACTAAACGACTTCAATTTAGTGTCACTGGTGCACTATCTGTGGTGTAAAACTGCCAAAATACCCACTGTTTTCCCTTTAAGCCATGCTGTGTGCGTTTTTGCAGAAGGCTGTCTCCTGCGAGGACCAGAAGTTGAGCCAAGGCACAGGGAACCTACAGTAGCAGATGGTAAGAACCAGGTATGATCGCGGAGCAACGCCTGATGTCATGGCATTCTTCCTCTATTCTGATGAAGCTGTATTTTGTTTCAGGAAAATATCTGTCCTTAACAAAAATAATTGCTCAATCCACGTTCACTGAAAAACTGCGTTGCTCAAAAAAAGAGAGGTTTATATTGCAAAGATTATTAAGAACAAGAATGTATTTCTTTTCTCTTTTCTTTTTCTTTTATCTTCTTGTTCTTGCAAAATAAACTAGGATTTGTGTGGGACATTTATTTCTTTATTCCCTACAATTGTTGCTGAAAAGACTGGGCTGCCTTAAACCAAGCTGACCACAGGATGTCCCCAGTGTTCCATGAAAATTCCACTGAAAGGGCATTTACCTGGTAATGCAAAACTTGATTCTTAAAGAAGAAAGGTCAGAGCACGTAGATGTGGTCACATCTACAATTTCAAACAAAATCTGGTTTTGCAGAGGCAGCCTCAGTGTCATCAGATAAAAATCAAAGCAGATCTGAATGGAGGTTGTCCTTGAAGAAGAGTGTGCCACCTACAAGTAAAGCCACTAAACTTAACAGCCCAGAGCTGCTATTTAATTGCCCCTGAAGAGAAGTCACCCTGAGGTGGAGTTAATAACCAATACTAGATCTTTTTTTTTCTTTCACTTTAATTTTCTTTGAAAGCTTCATGCTCAAGCAACGTGGTGACCAATATCTAATGAAACTATGCTGCTCAAATACCTTCCTCGGGCTGACATATTTAGCAAATCCCAAAACGAGAGTCTGAAGGAGCCCAAAAGAGAAAATATTTGAAAGAATCATGAATATGCATCTAAACTTATTGAGTTAACACGTTTTAAAATAGAAATGAGTTAAATATTTAACTCAATCTGCTCTGGCACAAGGGCAGGGGTGACATAGCCACGGTGCAAAAAAGCAGCTATGGACTAGGTATTTCACAGAAGATTCCCAGGGAAGGCAGTGGGAAAGGGCAGCTCTATCTGTCACTGAACTCATGGAGGCATGGTGTGGAACTGCGTGTGTGAAATATTTCCTTCTGTCTTTTCATGGATTGATAGGTCACAGAGTTCAGTGCTAGGTCAAGTCACCCAAGGACCACGGCGTCTCGTCAGCCTCCTCTCTGGCCTGGATGATCCCAGGTTCAAGCAGATTTCTGTTGGTTTATGTTATCCAACCTTCGTGAGTGGAGTCAACAAGTATATCACACTGATCAATTCCACTGGTGGTATAATAGCCCTCACCTCTGCTTGATTTGAACTTGTCTACAGTCTGTGAGTGTCTATTCTGCACTGGGGAACAGTCACAGAGCATGCAGCTTCACCTCAGTGAAAGTATTCAAGGGTCTGGATAGAGTCTGTTTCCCATTTTTTTCTTTTTTAATTACTTTTTATGTATAATTGACATAGTAAGTGAACATATTTATGGGATACAGTGTGATGTTTCAATGCATGTATACATTGTATAAATGATTAAGTCAGGGTAATTACCATATTCATCACTTTAAACATTTATCATTTTTTTTGTAGTGATAACATTCAAAATGTTCTCTTCTAGCCATCTTGAAATATACAGAACATTGCTATTTGCTGTAGTCACCGTACTATGTAATAGAACACCGCAATGTATTCTTCCATTCTAACTACAACTCTGTATCTATTGATCAACCTCTTTTGTTTCCCCTTACCCCTCCCCTCTCCAGGCTCTGATAACCACTATTCTACTCTCTATTTCTATTAACGCAACTTTTTGAGATTCCACTTATGAGTGAGATCATGCAATATTTGTCTTTCTGTGCCTGGCTTATTTCACTTAATAATGTCCTCCAGGTTGATCCCTTTCATTTACATACCTGTGTATGCAAATCTGAACTTCTGTTATTTTAAAACTCTTGATGGAAGCCGTGCTTCTACTGATGTGGAGGCTGTTACGAGCTGAATTGTATTTCACCAAATTCCCACGTTGAAGTCCTAACCCCCGGTACTTCAGAATGTGATGGTATTTGGGGATACGGTCTTTAACAAGCTAAGGTTAAAGCTTGTCATTGGCATAGGCCCTAATCCAATGTGACTGGTGTCCTTATAAAAAGAGGAGATTAGGGCACAGACATGCACAGAAGGAAGACCATGTGAGGACATAGGGAGAAGGTGGCATCTACAAGCCAAGGAGAGGGGCCTCAGAGGAATCGACCCTGCCCACACCTTAATCTCTGACTTGGAGCCTCCAGAATTGTGAGGAAATAAATCTCTGTTGTTTAAGCCACTCACCCTGTGGCACTTTGTCATGGCAGCCCTAGCAAATGCATATAGAGGCAAAACATTTCAGTATGGTAGTACTAGTTATGTATTATTAGTCACTAGCTCTTTGGTTAAACACAGCTCTCCTAGGCCAGGCACAGTGGCTCACACCTGTAATCCCAACACTTTGAGAGGCCAAGGTGGGAGGATTACCTCAGGTCAGGAGTTCAAGACCATCTCTACTAAAAATACAAAAATTAGCTGGGTGTGGTGCTTCACGCCTGTAATCCCAGCTACTCAGGAGGCTGCGGCAGGAGAATTGCTTGAGCCTAGGAGACAGAGGTTGCAGTGAGCCAAGATTGTGCGACTGCACTCCAGCCTGGCCAACAGAGTGAGACTCTGTCTCAAAAATAGAAACAAAAAAAATCAACAAAATACAAAGCTCTCCTAACTCAATAATAATGGCTGACATCAACTTAGAACTTGGTAAATTCTGCGTATTCTACCAAGAGATTTACATATATTAACTGCGTATTCTACCAAGAGATTTACATATATTAACTCAGATATATTACATATATCAACCTTCTGAGGTTGAAATCCCCATTTTTCAGATGAGAAAACTGAGGTAAACACCCCTGTCCCATCAGCCTCTAGGGCCCACACTTGAGGACTAGCACAAAATCTTCCAAACCATGGGGAGGGAGGATCACAAAAAGGTAGAAAAAAAATTGTGCTATTTTCTTCATATTCCTGTTTTATCTGCTAACTTCTGACACAGTATTTTTGCCTCTTGTGGGTAAATCTCGAATAGAATACACTTGCCCTACACATATGCTGATTACCCAAGAGTTAAGCTTGATTTCCACTCTTTAATCATGGGGCCACACCTTTTCCCTTTTTTAGGGCACATCTATATCCATGGGTATATTCCAAATTATTTAATCTAATCTTCCAAATTAGCTACTACCGCCAAATCCCCGTGGATTGTATGAAGAAGGCCAGGCTGGACAGGGGCGAGCAGGACACTGTGAGCATTGAGTGAGTGAGGCCAGTGACTGGGCATAACCCAGTTGGTGAATCCATGATTCACATGGAATCAGAGATCTGTGGAGCTGGGCAGGCCTTATAGATCTTCTGGTTCATTTAATTCATGGTTCCATTTCAGCACTCATCACAGTCTGGACTGATTTAGAGTGGGCTGTGTGTGTGTGAGTCTTCCCTTCCCACCCCTGAAAAGGGGTTCCCTGCAGACACAGTGCAGGGAGAGAAGCACCAAGAACTCCTCCTTTAGCAGCAGTACACACTGACACTCAGGGATGTGTCCTTGGGTTTGTGACTTGCCAGGATGTAAAGCTAGTGCTGGACCAGCCCAGAGGCTGGCTTGGCTCATAGTCCAGTGCTGTTTCCATGACAACACACTGTCTCATAGAAATATCCAAATTTATTTTTTAAAAAAGATACACTGGACTGGGCACGGTGGCTCACGCCTGTAATCCCAGCACTTTGGGCGGATCACGAGGTCAGGAGATCGAGACCATCCTGGCTAACACGGTGAAACTCCGTCTCTACTAAAAATACAAAAAACTAGCCGGGCGTGGTGGCGGGCGCCTGTAGTCCCAGCCACTCGGGAGGCTGAGGCAGGAGAGTGGCATGAACCTGGGAAGTGGAGTTTGCAGTGAGCCAAGATCACGCCACTGCACTCAAGCCTGGGCGACAGAGCAAAACTCCGTCTCAGAAAAAAAAAAAGGAAAAAAAAAGATACACTGGTAGATAATTATTCTCATCACAAAGGAATATGTTACTGTGAGGAAGGATTCACTGTCTAGGACAATGAGCTTCATAAGAAAACAGGGGCATGAGCTTGAAACCAAACTTGAAATTGAAAAATAAAAAGCAGCAACTAGACATTCACTACCTCAAAAATAGAGAAAAGCACATTGACCTTCTGGTTTTGAAATTGTTTAATAACTGGAAACTAGTTTCAAACTTGAGTTTGGCATAGTTTTAAGAACTCAGTCAAGAGGAATGCAAAACCCTATTTTTAAAATACAGCTGCTACATTTTTAAGGCAACACCATCAATCTGCAGTGGAGGGAAACATACAAAGGAAATGTACTTCAAATGTTTTATAACTAATGGATGTATAAAGTAAAATATAAAGAAAATTTGTTTAGTTTTAGCAATCGCAGAGTATTAAAAACATCCATTTTTAAGGATTACGGAAAGTATTCAGGTTATTATTTGTTCAACTCAACCAGTTAATTATGTGAATGTCTATTTCCAAATACCCAACCGGAATCTCAGGGGATGTGTGTGAGTGTTCTATCTCATGACTCTTTATAATAATAAAAATAAGCAAAAAGTAAATACAATTTGGGTTTAAATAGCTTTCCTCTTTCCTCTGGCCACTTGGGCCTTCGTTTTGTTTAATTAATCTGTTCATTTCTGGTGAGACCATCTCTTGGCAATGCGCTGGGATACTTAGGTTTCCTGGAGTACAGAAGAACAGTCCGTGTGGTTTCATACTGAACTGTGCGGTTGGAGGGGGGTCTGCTGCAGTCGTTCTGGACACATTCCTCCTCCTGTCTTGTGTGTGATAAGAGATTTGATCAGCTCTTAAGCAGCTTCTGCCTGTTTTCAGCATCTACAGTGCATCACTTTCCTGGCTGGATTCACCAGCTTAGAGAAAGCAAACAACTTAGAAAAATCACAAGGCACAGTGCAGGTGCCCCACTGGATGGAGGGGACACACTTTTGCAGTTATCTGCTGCTGTGTTGGGTGTCAACTTCTGTGACTGAATATTTAAGCCTGGGAACTTTCTTGGTTTTCGCCCTCACATCGGGCATTATCTGGCCTTTCCCTGGAGGGTGACTTGTGCGGGTGGGGTGGGGTGGAGGGAGAGGAGCGCGAAGGCAGGGATGACTGCCCACCTTGGATGCCTTTTCCAGCACGATGCGCTGACTAATGAGCAGAGGCCACTGCTGAAGAGCAAGGCTGGGTCTCCTTTTCCGGAGACTGAGCCCATTACCCTCTCGGCCCCACTAGCCTACAGGCACCCAGCCTGCCTCCCAAATGGATGACTTCCGGCTCGCTACGCCGCTCCCGGTCCTGGTGCCAGTGGCCGTGAATAACCTTGCTTTTGTGTGTATTTATTTTATTTTGAATTTCTCCACCCTGGATCTTTCCACCTCCAAACCCCACCCCCTGCTTGCCGGCCCCATGTGGTGATGTTTCTTGAAATGTTAGATTCTTTCTTCCTCTATCCCCCCCCTCCAGTTCTGGAAGCATTTTGTTTCTGTACTGCTTTGTGAAGCTGGTGCTGAGTCCAGATCCTTGGGGCTTTAAAGTTGAATTAATTATTAAACAGGAAGGGAGCAGTACTTTCAGCAGGCGCCAAGTAACTATACTTAAACTGCAACCTGGCACTGTTTTTCCCACCCTTGTGCTGTGGTTTGCTGAAGGCAACTGGAGATTTTTATTCTAGTTTTAATCAAGCATTTCTGTAAGTTTTCAGGCAGTTAAGATTTGGCAGCCAAGGGCTGGGAAGTCAGTCTTCATCACCTCCTGACCAGTTTGGCCAAAGACAAAATTAAAACACAATCAGAAGTACTTTCCCAGTTCATAAATCAATCTGAAATTGCTCATTCTCTACGGGTTGCTTTTCCTGAGGACAGGGTGGGCTTTTCTCTCAAATATATGTGTATTTTTTATTGATTAGCTCCCATTTGTAGAGAATGGTGCTTTTCAAATAAAACCATCAGAACGTTGGCTTTAGTTGCCGTGTGATTGTTATAATCACTGCTTTAATTTAGGGGCTATGTTGAAGATACGAAACCCTTATTTAAAAATATACTCAGGAAGGCTGGGTGCAGTGGCTCATGCCTGTAGCCCTAGAACTTTTGGAGGCCAAGGCAGGAGGATCACTTGGGACTAGGCGTTTGAGTCCAGCCTAGCCAACGTAATGAGATCCCCATCTCTAAAATAATGAAACATTAGCCGGGCATGGTGGTACGCCTGTAGTCCTAGCTACTCAGGAGGCTGAGGCGGGAGAATCACTTGAGCCCAGGAGTTTGAGGCTGCAGTGAGCTAGGATATTGCCACAGGACTCCAGCCCGGGCAACAGAACAAGGCAGTCTCTCTAAAAATAATAAGAGTAATAATAAAGTAAAAATAAAAATACGTGTGAAGACACACAGCAGAATTTCTTACTTTTCTGAGGCTGGGTATTGATGTTTTTCAGAAATTCGCAACTTGATGGAGTTGGTGGGTCAGCTTAGCCCCGATACTGAATACAGGCATTCTCGCAGAGCGATATGAATGAGACAGTGGCTGTGTTCTAGAGAAACGCAAAGCCTTCCTAAAGGTATCAAACTAATACCCTTAAATGACAGCAAGACGCTTTTTGGAGGCTGCCCCTGCAGAGGGCTGACCCTCTGATTTTCACCTGGCTCCTGGCATTTGGTGGTGGGCCTTTCCCAGTCTCGGCTGACTGCTCTGCAGGAAGCTCGCTAGGAAGTGCTCTGCTCAGCTCCATTAAGTCTCACCCTGTAGCTGAGCAGCGGTGCAGGCTGTTGGGGTGGGGAGGGAGGAAGAGCTATCTGGGTGCAGCTGGGTGCGTAGGCAGGAGTGTGAAGCAGCCTCAAGAGGAAAGAGAACAAAGATTTGGTTAAAAATTTAGATTCATGCATATAAATTTGGAACAGGGCAAAAAAAAGTAAGCCCAACGCACACAACCCTCCTGCACCCCTTCCAGTTGGCTTGTGGTGAAGTGTGCATGTGAGAACAGCTCAGAACCGAAACACCGTACACTCATGTCACCCCTAACGATGTGCTGGGAAACCTTGCAACAGATATATCCTTAGAACTTTTAAAAATGAGAGACATTCTGTGAGCCTTCAGTCCAAATACTATTTTTTTGGACTTATTTTCTATTCAGGGATTTTTTAAAAAAAGTATTCTTGCTAACAATTCTTAATTAAAAAAAATTAAACATTTTAATCATACATATAATCTATGTCTTCACTGTGTAATTTCCATCAGTCAACAGATTTAATTATAATAAATTAATAAATATACTTACAATAAGCAAAAAACTGTGGTCCACTGGCTTATTGAAAAAGATTTGTTAGAAGAAACCAGATAAATGTACACTTCTAGGAATTTAAGCTCAAAATTTCAAGCACCTCTATTTTTTCTGAATTGTCACCTTTTCCAGGGACTGATCCTTTCTCAATAAATCATCCCCTGACCTTGGTGTTGAGATTGTCATGGGGCTTCTACTCTCAGGATGTCAGATTTGGTCATATTATTTAGGATTCTATCATGGCCACATTGCACTTCTAACCACAGGAAATAATTTAAAACCCAGACTGGAAATGATATATTCCTCAACAACCAATATTTGGAAAATATATTTATTAAATGCACAACTTTTGTACAATTTCTATCTGTTCTTTATGTCCTATTTTCTTTCCAGAAAACATATTCTGCACTGGTTTTAAAATCACATGACAAGATTTCTAATCTTTGGGCAAAAGTCCTCATCCTTTATGTTTGGAAATGGGTTGATACTCTTATCCCTCACCCATGGGAAGTTCACAATATAAAAGTTTTAAAAATACTTTATTTAAAATAACCTTCCAACAGCTGGCCTAGTCTTCTATGTTTAGATATTAGAAAACACTGGAAAAGCACTTTCACTTAGTTAAAAAGGAAAACCAGTCAATAATAATCATAACAACCCTTTAAACAAAAAAAAGAATACGGAGAATACCAAACAGGCATGCATTGCGTTGTCAAAGCCTTTTTCTTTCCCTAGTTAAGGATAACTCTAAAAATATTGTGTATACCCACCTATGGTTTCCTGAGGACTTTCTTGCCAGTCTGCTGAAAAGCAAAAATTAGGAAATTATGTCTGATTTGTGTCAAATATGTTCCAAAGAATCATGGGGTTTTCCTTTCACTATAAGGAGTATTCATGGAGGAAGTCGTCCTCTGAGCAGTTGTCACCTTTTCTTACGTGGTATTCCCAACTGCAATGGCAGGCGGTGGGGGCTTTGCCACCGTGGGAGCGGCTCCAGTTCCTGGGTGAGCCCAGGGCCTGCCCAGACGTCGGCCATCTCTGCAGGTGTATGGGCTGCGGCCCTAGGCAAGACTGTCTCTGCCTTTCCCAAAGGTCTCTGAGCCCTTCTGCGGCCCAGATGGTTCCAATTTGAGGCCTACATTCAGTGCTGGAGCTGTATTGAGTTTCTTCCCTGAAACCAACAAAACCTGCTTCAGCATTTTGCTTGGATTAAAATATTTGTCCCTTTTTTTTCACAGGGCAGAAGGAGGACTCCTGAAGCCTCCGAAGGAAGGAAATCATTACAGGGCCCTACAGAAGTAGGTCATGTGCTACAGCTGCTCATAGTTTGAGAGGAAGAAACACGGGACCTCAAACCTGGAACACGACTCTTTCAAAATGCTTGTGAGTAACCCAAGGAAAACATCCTCCCCAGGCTTATCTAATAACCATGATCTCTAATCGTCTCAATGTGTGCTCAGGTTTCCTTAGGAGTTTGCACCCACTTCTCAGAGCTAACGAGACGCCGATACAGAACACAGCAAAAAGTAATGAAGGAGATTTAATAGTTTGTGTTAAAGCTAATATGGTCCATTAGGAGCTGTCATTTTTATAAACAATGAGGATATGTTACCCTCTTCTTTGGTGTAAAGTCATTCCATGCAGGACCTGTAAACATTCGGTAATGATCTGTAGAACATGCATGAATGACAATTAAAGCGCCACTTGAAAAGTCTGCTTTCCTCACATATTTGGTTTCTCGCTAAATAAACTTGTAAAGTTCATACATGTGTACGCATATGCTTACATTATAAAAAAAGGTGTGCATTTCATTAAGAAAATCAACGAACAGATATCTTGTAAGTGTTTTTGGTTCCCATTAGCTTGAGAAATATCAGAAGTGATTAGTTAAATGAGGAGCATAGGTTCTGTTTTTTAGTGCATACTATAATAATAAAACAAGCAGTCTTTTATGGTAGCTTAGTGAGATAAAATTATAGTTCACAATGTCATGAAAGGCATGATTACTGAGTACGATCTTTGAAAGTTACAAGTAAAAAAGCTTCTATAAAACCTATCTGTTGCAAAAAAAGTACGTTCTACAGTGATTCAGATATATTTCTGAAATGTATTTTTTAATTGTGGCTTATACCAAGCAGAGACAAGACTCGAGAACTTGCATTCTTTTTGAGACTCACTGAATGTACTTGAGAAAATAAAATCAGATTGACTCCCTCTGACTTTGTAAATAGAGTTTGCTCCCTTGCTTTCTCTCTCTCTTTTAACGGACAAATGATTCCTTTTTATAGGTTTTAGGTTTGGCAGAATTTGATTAAAAAAAAAAAATTCATACAACCCCCTAACATTTTCTGCTGCAAACAGGAGTAGGTAGGGAGTAGGGGATAAAGAAAGGTCCAGATTAAAATTATTCTAGTTATTCACATAGACTTGAAAGCTCCAGTGAGGAGGTTTGAGAAGTAGCCTTAGGCAGAACTTGCTATCAAAGAAGGCCAGGAACAAAAAACATTTAAAAGCAGATTACGAGTCTCTCCTAACAAAGCAAAATCAAATCACTGATCGATAAGTGCAGCTGGGTTAAAATTGTTTCCTTAAAAAGGCTTTAAAAACTTTTTTGAGTGATAAGCTGGAGGCTGACCCTTTTATGCTTTTGAGCAGACTCCTCCTGGAAAAGCCTTTTCCATCTCTTCCAGGGCGGCCTCTTTTGGGATGAGCCAGGGTCTCTCTCTTCTCATTTAACACAAGCAGGCCCTTGGCTGGAAAAGGCTGGCAATGTCGTTTCCAAGAAAGGGAAAGATGCTCTTTGATCTAAGTCAAGCCCTCCAAGAGAGTTTAGCTACTAGACCCAACAGCATAGCTGGATTCCCCATGGTCATCTATGAACTATTTGTGCAATGCCCAAGCTGGAATGACCATTATTGGTGTAAAATCAACTTGAAACCTGAAGAAAATCTTCAACAAAGAAAAGCCCCAGACTCCAGGTCACTTAAGCCACAAAAATGTGCTGGGTAGATTGTGGCTCGCTGTCTAGATCAAGGCCATGTGGACGACGTGGAGGCATACCTCCCAGCGTCAGACGTAACTCAGATGCTGGATCTTTCAGAGACTGATTTCAAACAGGGCTTTTAAAAACAAGGGAAGAGGGAAAAAAAAAGAAAACCAATGAGCAAGTGGTGTTCAATTTATTCACATATGTTCCAAATGGCACAGAGATAAGCAAAAAGGGTTCTGGTATGTTTTTTAATGATTTCATTATCACCAGACAAGAATGGAAAGATCGTCCAGATGCTATTGAAGAGATAGAAAAAGAAGATTTAAAAAAATAAGAATAATATCTCGAATGGTTCCCTGCCCGGGTACATAAACAGTGAAGACTGACCAATGAGATCTTTGAAGTTAGGTCTATTTGCAAGTCCACTTATTTAAAAAGGAAGGTTGAGATGATGTAGAAAAAAAAAAGAAAGAAAACTTTTAGAAAAATTTGATCTTGGCCTGGCTGTCTTCTTCTCTGCATGAGCATTGTTTGCCTGGGGTGGATTGTCATCTGAGCCAGTGATTAAGCAGGGAGGGAGAGTGAAGCAAAGCTACAGTCCCCTCCGGTAGAGCAGGGGCTGGGCCAGTGCCCTGCTGGGGAAGCCCGGGTCACACACAGCACACAGGGAAGATGAGGATTATTCCCATTGCAAGGGCTGCAGCTTGGGTCACAGATCTGCCTCTTTCCTTCTCTTGGCTGCTCCTTGTCCATCCATAATAGCCGTTGTGGTGTGTCAAATTCTGCACTATTGCAAAGTGCCCCGGCCACTGGGTCTGAAAAAAGTTCTCTCCCTTTTCTGGAGGCTGTCTGAAAAGTGAGTACTCTCCATTGCTTGTGTGGATATACTTGGCCACCTAGAAAGTGAGTTTATGGTCTCTTTTTAGTTTTATAAAATTATTATTATTTAATGTTAGTGTTTTTAGAGACAGGGTCTCGCTCTGTTGCCCATGTTGGATGCAGGGTGCGACAGCCTCAAACACCTGGGTTCAAGCTGTCCCCCCACCTCAGCCTGCCAAGTAGCCAGAACTGCAGTGGCACGCCACGCCCTGCTAAGGTTTGTGATCTCTTTATGGGTGTGTGTGTGTTATGTTTCTAAGTAGATTGTAAGCTTCCTGAAGGTGGAGGCCACAGTCTTCCTGATCAGGTCTATGACCTTCTAATTGTTCAGTAGAAATGGGTCTGTTGCTGGGTGCATGATAATGAAACAGAATAGACCATGCCCAGGAAAGTGCATAGAGGTGCAAGTCTTAATCAAGGATGCAAAGTGTGTTTGGCGTGACTCATAGTAACGCCAAAAGTATTGCTCAAAGCAGCCTCTACCTATGGAATGATCGAAACAACGCCTCTTCAGAAAGACAGCATGTGTGTTACAGACCCACGGTTCCCCTGGAGTTCCCGAAATCCACTGAGAGTGTGGGGACTTGGATTCTTCTATCCCCCAATTCTCCTGATTCACTGCCACACTGTCCCTGGGCTTCATTAGGGTAAAACTTGCCAGTATCTGGAAAAGTAGTAAAACCCTCATTTCTCTGCAAGCACTGGAATTGTACATGCAGGATGGATCATTTTCATTTATGTTTGGTATGACCATTATTTCAGCTGCTTCGTGTCTGTCAGAACTTATACATGCTATTCGTTTCATGGCCAAAATATGGTGTGACCTATCTTGAAACCCCAAGAAAATTTCTCTAGCAACAGCATTGTTTTCTGACATTGTAAATCATCTCTCCTTCTACATAATTTTGCATGGCCATGATAAAAATAAATGTGGATATCTGAATTTTATAGTTGAAGACGTTAAGTGGGTACTTGTAAATTAGATTCTCTGAGTCCCAACAACATCTATTTATTGTTTTGCTTATAATTCTTTAATGTTTACCAAAGGGACCTCCTATTGCTTACAACAAAATAGCAAAAAACACAATCTCTAGAAGTGTGTTTAGTCCAGCTAAGGGCTGATCTGGGGCTGCCCATGCAATCAAAACCTCTCTCTTAGCTCTCCCTGTGCCTTGAAAGGTAAAGCTCTCACCCGTTAACTCTCTCGGTTCACGGATATGTCACCGGAATTATTTGTTGTTTTGTGTTGTTGTTTTGTTTTGTTTTGTTTTGTTTTTTGCATATGGTACAAATCATATTGGAAAGAGGCAAATTAATCTCTTTAATACAAAATCATTTACTTAGTACCCACTATATGCAACACCAGTGACAGAAAAGCTACACAAAAAAGCACATCAGTTGGGAATGTGGTCGTGTTCAGCTTCTTGCTCATGTAAATAATTGGAAACAGAGTCAGTGCGTCGCACTCCCACAACTCAGGTGCTGTTTCCCGTAATGGTTCCCTCCCTGTTCAAAGGCGGGTCATCCCGGGATTACTGCAGTTTTAGACAGCACGCTAATGTTCACTAACAGGGTAATGGAAATTAAAAATGTAAATAAGTGCTTGGGTTCCCTACCCCCAAATATGTCAGATAACTGCTTATTTTCCTCTAAATTAATGTGTTTGATTCGCAGCAGAGGCTAAACACCTTATACGAATATTATCATATATCTCGTTTTTACTAATCTTTGGTTTGGGTGACTGGATTTAAGTGACGTAAGCAGAAGGTATGGAAAGTGAGTAATCACAATGTGAAAATGCAGTGAGACCCCTAGTGCCCTATGGCTATTGGAGCAATTCCACCCGCCTTTTTTTTTTTATTTTTTTGAGACGGAGTCTGGCTCTGTCGCCCAGGCTGGAGTGCAGTGGCTGGATCTCCGCTCACTGCAAGCTCTGCCTCCCGGGTTTACACCATTCTCCTGCCTCAGCCTCCCGAGTAGCTGGGACTACAGGCGCCCGCCACCTCGCCAGGCTAGTTTTTTTTTTTTTTTTTTTTTTAAGTAGAGACGGTTTCACCGTGTTAGCCAGGATGGTCTCGATCTCCTGACCTCGTGATCCGCTCGTCTCGGCCTCCCAAAGTGCTAGGATTACAGGCTTGAGCCACCGCGCCTGGCCTCACCCGCTTTTACAAGTTTCTCCCTCCTCCATCCCTTCTCCTCCTGGAACTTCCTGCCTTGGTTTTCACTAGTTCAGACAGGCCACTGTGTCGTTTCACCAGTCTCGCTTCCTTTCACTCTAGATTTCTCCATTCTGGCCTGGGAACTTTACTTGTCATTCAGTTACCCCGGAGTCTTTTCCACCCATCCCCAAACAACTTTCTAAAGTTTTCATTTAAGTAAAAACTAGTAAAACACTGGTAAGCACTGGTTAAATAACCTTCTGATAAAAAAAATATATGTAATCGAATTTGGGACTTCTTTATCTGATGACATCTATGTTATTCATTTTGTGATGTTTCTAGAAATCTCCAAATTAATCTCCATGTAAATCTGGTCCTTCCACCTTCAGAGGGCCTTTGGCTTGTAAAAATCTCAGTTTTCCAGTTTTATTATATTCGTGTACTTATCTGAAACAAATGCTCCGTGTGCTTGTGCATGTGTTATTGTGTGTGCATGTGTTATTGTGTGTGCATGTGTTGTTGTGTGGATTGTGAATTCTTTCAGGAGGACATATCCTTTATCGTCATCATCTTCTTTTTCTTATTTTTTTTCTCTTTTCATCATGAGTCCTATACTCACTGAATATCTATAATCGGTGACCTACCCCCAAATATGTCAGATAACTGCTTATTTTCCTCTAAATTAATGTGCTTTGAGGTTCTGTAGGCAGAGGCTAAACACCTATTACGAATATTA